CGGGATAAGAATGATTGATTGGGCTAGGGACAGAGAGAGGGTCTGTTTGGTAATGTACGATGGTAGAGTTCAATTGCCTGACTCTCATGGGGTGTTTGGAAATAGCAAGATTAATGATAGGAGCATGGGACACTGGACCCCGTTTCCAGTTAGCCTCGCTGAGGCTTGGTTCTCCTGTCGGGGTTGAGATGTGGAGGGATTCCCGGAGCCAAGTCCCACTAGCACCAGTGCGGCATGGTGCGGCGCATTTAAAAATGATAGACGTGCATTTGAAAAGCATAAAAGAATGAAAAATAAATAAATCGGGGACACTCCATGTCTGACGTTCTGCCGTGGAGGAAACAACGGAGGTCATTGGGACAGTACGCAGACAATGATGGGTCGGCAGAACGTAACCGCAAGCGGTGCACAGCTTTGTTTCCTGTGAAGGACAGGCAAGGGGTGTACGTGGGCATGTTTGGCCATTGATGCAGTGTGTAATTCCTCTGGCAGTTGGCTCGTTGGAAGGTTCGGTTCCGTTACGCGGCATTTGTGGGCTTGACGTTGGGATTTTCGGTGACCTGATGTTCGGCCTCCCGCTCCACTGCCCTCGGCACGCAGAAAAGGGAACAATCTGCGCGGTGTAGCTGTCCATGTTCTAGCAGAATATTCACTCTCGTTTTGCAGTACAAGTGGGTAGTTGAGCGAGGCCGAGTGGGCAGGGCTCCAGTACTGTCGAAATGTGCAAGAGTGCAGTGAATCTTCCGCTACAACATGGGAAGATACAACACGCATATTTTTAATGTTTCTGCGTGGGGAGGGTAGTGGATGAAGGGCATCGCCACGCCACTCTCGAAATGTGCGAAATGAGAATGAACTTCCGGCTAGAACATGGGCCAGATGCACCCGCCACATTTTTGTCTTTTTCGCATTTCAAGAGTGGTGTGGCGACGCCCGAAGGCCCATTCGTGGGACAGCTGTGCAGTGGACAAGCCATTCTTTCCGCCAGTTCCAAGGACTGCCGTCCTTCACCGCCCGTACCACCCACTGTGGCTCCTTCGCTGCATTGGCTGGCACCGTCTTCAGTAGTCACGCAGTAAGCTTCGGTATGAGCTTCGGCATTCAGTATTCAGGGACGGGGGCAATTGCCTCCAGCTGCCTCCGTGTGTGCGTGTGTGTGTGTGTGTGTGTGTGTGTGTGTGTGTGTGTGTGTGTGTGTGTGTGAGAGAGAGAGAGAGAGAGAAGTCAACGGCAAGACATAGCCGTTCAGGAAAACTAAGCTGACCACTTCAAACTTCATGACCAACACTGGCATCAGAGAGCCGAATGAGAGCACGCGATACACACAGGTCACAGACTGTGTAGAACGTGCTTGAGTGTTCTTTGCACGGTCACCAGCACGGCCATCCCCACAGCACCACCACGCACGCAGACATTCACAGAAACAACGGCAATCATGCGTCTGCCAAGCGCRACATTCACAGGAATAATCAATAGATGCGTCTGTTCCGACATCCTCAAGTATTCTGACACTGCCACCTCCGACTRCACACCCCACTMCCGTTTACGAACGGCCTGTCGTGAGCTCGAACCCTCACGCACACAAAGAAATTGTATTCTCCGTCKGCGCTCGTACAAAACRTTTYCGTTTMTTTCAATACCCACGAACTKCAAATCGTCCTTSAAACCGGTCCCTATTTCAGACACTATTCAGGCCATGTCACAGACCTAAACCCGTCCAAAACTCCTTTAACTAATTCGACAAAAGAGTCCACCAATGAAAAAACGGCTTCTCCTATATCATTTGTGATTTCTCAACTAAAAAACAGCCTAAATACTCCTCACCCTGCGATCACATCTACATCTGCGGTTTTCAGCCAAGTCGCACATTGTGAGATACCTCCCGACGAAACTAAACCGTCGTGTAGTGGGACTTGGCCACCGGCCTCCTTTTGCCTTTATAATTAGACTGTATGCTATTTTCAACAACAACAACAAAAAAAAAAAGGAAAATCCGACGAGGTTTTTTTTTTTTTTTTTTGGGTTCCCTTTTATTGGCGTATTTTACTCATCTGGGCAGAGGTCCCACTAGCAACAGGGATCGGATTGAGTGCCTGAATCTGGATATGTTTTAGGCAAAGATGCAGAAAAGCAGTTCAATCTCGATTTCCTGCACCTGTGCACAAACACGTCCAGATGCAGGCATTCAGTCCGATTGGGGCGGAAATGAATACAAAGGTTTGGTGGCCGGGAGGTCTTATAACTTTGCCCTTATTTTATTTTGTCAATCCGGATTCGAACTTGGGTCTACGGTGAAGGGCGGTTACCTCTCTTGGTGGAGGGAGGTAAGGGCATGTTTCTCCCTTTATTCAGCGGCCTATCTCAATAGGTTAGGCACGCAAGTGGCATTCAGGAGGTCGTGGGTTCAACCCCCATGGCCGCATGGCTGCCTGTCATGGTCACCTGTGGCACGCTCGGTTCCAACCAAGTGACATAGTCAGCTGGATACTCCCAGTGGGTATTAATAAGGTCGTCAGCCAACACTGGTGTGAGTGCACGTGTGAGTGGGTTGCGTGTGGTGTGTGGGAGAGTGTTGGTGGGTTGCCTGTGGTCTGTGGGAGAGTGTTCGCCTCAGGGGTAGGGGAAGATGAAAAGGGGGGCACAGTCACTGGCAAATGCTCGGTCCTTGTGTTAATGGGGCCCCCACCGGCGGCAACAACCTTAAGCTTGCAGGCGTCCCCTGTATATCCTGTGGAGTAGTGTTAGGTCGTGAAAGGAAAGAATGTGTTCCATGACATGGCAGAACGCCAGTTAAAATTTCCCAGTTTGTGCCAATTTGTGGGGATATGGGTGTATCTATGGGACGCTGGACCCGGTTTCCAGCAGGTGCTGCTCCCCACCAATAGATGGAGCATTTAAAAAAATAATAATAAAAAAAAAAGATGTAAAAGAACGCCAGTTAAAATATGCGAGGTGAGAGAGCATATATATAGTTGTCAACAGTACATTGGTGTTCCCCATTTTTCCTGCCCTTTTATACATATCGTCTTCCCGGTGGACCGTCCTGAGAGAAGGAGAAGATGTTTAAAAAAAAAAAAAAAAAAGAGAAGGAGAAGATGATAATAAACGATGGGCTGTGGCCGTCTGTTTCGTAGGAGTTTCACCGTTTTCTGTTTTTTTTTTCCATCGGAGAGCAAGGGCTGAGTTCCAATAACCCGAAATCTTGACTTACTACTGTAGATGATGAAGATCAACGGCCAGAAATGGAGGTTCCAGCCAAGTGGGATTTGGCCCCAGGAGCAAGGGCTGAGTTCCAATAACCCTATTTCGGTTCATTGCATAGTTCTGTGCGAACTTGCGAAGTGGCGTACAGGAGCGAGGTCCCATTTTATGAAGTCAGAGAGAGTAGCCATGCTGTCCTTAAATGATCAATATATACAGACAGCATAACAGGGCAGAAGGATATTGTACTGATTAGCATTAAGGGACACGAGATAGAACCTCAGGCATAGGATATAGAGTTGGCTGTCCAGTTGGCTGTGGGATATAACTGTGAACAGGGCTGAATGTTTGATCGGCAGTTGGTTATGGGTTCGGCCAAGAGTACCTTGCCCAGCCCCGCACGGCTGCAAAATATGTGAGCTACGCACCCGTTTTCCTGCTATGAATGGAATGAGCCTTGTTTGAGGGAGGGTGTTGCATACCGTATAAGTGCAGACCAGAACAAGAAGTGACCTTTCAATACAAAGTATAAGATAGCACAGCGGAAGACTTAGATACTAGTGATCCGAACAATCAATGTTGTAATGCAGCCCTGAACATACATCATCATCATCGTTTCATAGTGTGAATGGGTCTGGCGCTTCACACAGGAAGACAGCGCCAGCCCAGAACATGCACAGACGAGGAGGAAGGGGATAGACGAAAAGGAGGGGAAGATGGGAATGTTGTCAACACCAAGTCTTCGGCACAAGCCCATATAGTCCCTCGTCGAACTGTCTGAATCCCAAATGTCAAGTCTGGATCCAATGTCGTCAAGTCTCAAGTCACAACTCTGTCTCTCTCTGTCGTAGT